CACACATATATATCCTCTATGCGTAGACTTTTACCTACTTCTTAGCCTGCTGAAATAGACATAGAAAAATATTAGTTTGTCATCTCCCGTTGAGGAAACAAAATACCAGCTTCATGTAGTTTAATTATATACATAAGGAGAGCTGATGGTTGCTTTGCATTACAATTAAGAAAGCTTGCAACTATTATAGCAAACCAACTAATCAGCCATGGACGCTCTTCTGCATGATCTCAGGAATGTGCTCTGCCTATAGTCAGCACTGTATTCTTATGTATAGAATAGATCAACAACCTTTAGCTTGCTGCTTAGATCTAAAATTCATTTTGTTGTATTTTTCTGTAACCTTGATACTCTACAGCATGGCCTCAAGAGGAATTAACTCATACTTGCTTTGACTGTTGAACGTCTTGTGGATTAAGCAGATTAGGGCTAAACTTCCCTAGTTTATTGAATATAGTTTGTTTCCTAAAATATTTTTATTTTTATAACATGCCACCTGAGGTCAAAGGCAGAGTTGTTCCTTCATTTTGCTATCCAAGAGTGTCTTCTCTATGATAAAACCCTGATGTAGTAGTGAATTCATGATACTTTTCCTGTTTTCAGAGGCCTCAAAGAGTAGAATGAATGGGAGTAATTGTGCTGCTGTTGAAGCTTCTAAAGTGGTTCATCAATTTTAAATAGAAGTAATATATTATTGAACATAATGGTTTCAAAGGGAAAATGGAATATGAGCTTAACAAAGCTGAATCATTTATTTGCTTTACGCATTAATAATATTTCTTAGCACCCTGCTCATTTGTATCTTTTCTTTCTCTGGTGATTAAGTTTGAATTCACCTGACTTACTCCAGCATTGGTCACCTTGCATAAGCTTTGAAGGCCAATCCTGACCTACATGTCTGTAGATTATGACTATCAGATCCGGGTTGAAGTCATCTGGACAACCAGTAGATAGCAACAAAGAGTCAATGTTTTTATTATCTCCTAACTTAATCTAGTTGATATCTATATTTTTATAGAACAGATCTGACCTACTGGGATAAATAAAGCTAGCTTCTGAAAATCTGGTCTCTGAGTTAATTTACTTTCACCACCAAACCTGTTATTCAATTATTCCCAGATGTTCTTCCAGGGTCCCTCAGCTGATTGAATACTCAAAATAGGTGAATTGTCAAAACCTTAAAATGGCCCATTTTAAAGTAGGTTGGTCAAGATTTGGGAATATTATTTAAATGACTATGGGAATTCCTAATATATTTCGCTATATTTCATTGACATATCATGTGGGTAAATATATGATATTATACAGTGTATGCAGTTAAAGCTGCATGCTCTGAAACCAGAATGTCTTCAGATGTCTTTGCAATGGGATACTGTGAACAGAACATATGCACTGTAGTTCAGCAAAAATGAGGTATGCTAACAGGATCAACACAAAGAATATTATTTGAGGATTCTTGGTATTCCTATAATAAGACACTATCTGCCTGTTTATCTTATTTGAAAATAAGGGGAACCCAACAAAGAATTATTTCTTAGCATTCTGAGAGGCCTTCAATCATAGTGATCCAAATATTATACATGCAGAAACTGTGAATGCTTATGGGTAGCAGTTGGATGCAGCTTGAAATAAATTTGGGGTGCTGGCTGCAAATATGCCAATAGACTTCTCAGAAGAGCCAAATTCTATCTGGGTAAGAAATAATAAGTAGGGTAAAGATATGTGACCTGAGTAACAGGTTTATAGAAACAGCATAAAAACTATGATTTCAGGAAAAGTACAGCATAATATATACAGGTGATCCTCAACTTATGACCACAATTAAGCCCAACATTTCTGCTAAGCGAGACATTTATTGAGTTTTGCCCCATTTTATGACATCTATTGTCACAATTGTTAAGTGAATCCCTGCAGTTAAGTTAGTAATTCGGTGGTTAAGTGAAACTGGCTTCTCCAGTGACTTTGCTTGTCAGAAAATCACAGAGGGGACACTGCAACTGTCATAAATATGAATCATTGGCCAAGTGTCTGAATGTTGATCATGCGATGATGGGGATGCTGAAAAGGTTGTCAGTGAAAAACAAGTCATAAGTCACTTTTTCCAGTGCTGTTGTAACCCTGATCACTAAACAAAATGCTTGTAGCTGATTTAGTGACCATTCAGTTAGCAACAAAAATTTTGGGCTCAGTTGTGGTTGTAAGTCAAGACCTACCTATACTTGTGTTGCAGACTAATGCCCGTATAAATTTAAGTTTAACTGAGGCCTCCTCCTCCTTGCAGTTTGGTTGATTGATTTCAGGGAGTTGCACTGTACTGATTACTTGAAAACATTCTCTCTCCATGCTGCGAGGCCAGTGACAATTATATAGCCAGTTATTGCATGGATGTTTTAGACAGGAAAACACATAAATGATTTATAGCAAAAGATGGCAAGAATAAGAGTGAATCTAAAAATATTACATATGATTTTAATTATAATAATAAAAACTAATAAGAACTGAACTTGGAAAGAGCAAATAAAATGAGAGTAAAAAGTGCAAAGAAAGAAAAGGGGGGAAAAAGGAAAGGGTGAAATAAATAAAAAGAAGTATATGAAGAACTAACTTCCAGTCTTCTTTCACAATAGTGGCAAATATCCAGAACTAAAGGCAAGATACAGAAGGATGAAAAAAACAATGTAATCTACAAAAATCAACTGTAATCATTGCAACCAATTCTAGGTGGGACAAAAACCAGGATTCACGAACACTGGCTGGCAATCAAATGCCACAATCCCAAATGTTTAATCTCTACCCACACCAACACCAACCAGCACCAGTTTGATTGGAGCAACACAAAAATCATTGGCTACACTACCATTTGCCATGCTCGTGAGTTCATCGGAGCCTGGCACTCCACAAGAAATTCACTCAATAGACACATTGACCTACGAACCCTCAGAATCCAAATCAACCGCACAGCCAACCAGAGACAGCATCGGCCATCAACCAACCCACGCAAAGCTCCCCAACCAGCAGTTCACCTTCCAATGTGAACCTTCCCATCACAAGGCTTTTCACTGATGACTTACACCTGACCCATTACAAGACCCTAACTTGACACACCCATACCCGAAGCTCTTATAAACGCAGAACATTGACACTGACCTCCCCTAAATTCTGCTGAAGTTGTTACTTAGTCTGGTAATGAAATGTTCGAAATAGTTCACAAGCTTGGAGAATGAACCTTCACCCTGAAGTAAAAAAACCTCTCTGAGGACACAGATATCTCTTCTTTCCATAACCCATCCCTTATCTGTAAAGCAACTCCATAAAACATCAACTATCCTCAGTACTTTAGAACAGAGTATCACATTTAGATAATGTTCAGATTTTTAAGGGTATTTTGTTCATAAATGCAGTTAATGGAGAGAAATTTGTACCAAGTTTCAAAGTGTCTTCTTCAATATTTAGGAGAAGAAAGTATAAGAGTGCTGCTTGTGACTTATTTTCCTTCCCTCATTAAATAATAATGCCCTGCTATTAATTTCAAAGTTTTGTGGCAGTCATTGTTTCTCAGCATGACTTCCTTAAAAAGGAATTGTGTTGATAAAATAGGAAAGCCCTAAGTATGCTACTGGGGTACATACATCGGACTTATGATTCAGCAGGCTGTATCATGGTAAATTAGTTGTCTTACATTTTGAAAACATTACTGTTATCATATTGTGTGATGAAATGTAGAGATTTATGATGTGGCCTGTTCCTTTTCCACATAAAGCAGGGGTGTCAAACTGGATTTCTTTGAGGGCCGGATCAACATTGTAGTTCTCTGTGGGCTGGTTGGGGGTGGTGGTGATGGGGGTGGAGGGGTTGGATGCCTCCTGCAACACCCTGCTGGCCAAAATGGGGCATGAGGGGATGCATGCGGGCTTCTGTGCCTCATTTTCACTTTCAATGGCCTCATACAGCACACTGCCAGCACTTTTTTGGCCCGTTTTTCAGCCTGTTTTTTTGGGGGGTGCACGCAGGCCATTTTAGCTGCCAGAGGCACTGCAGGCCAGTCCTTTGATATTTCCAGGCCGGCTCCGTTTGCTTAACAACCGTGTGATTTGCTTAACGTTTATTGTAAAAATGGTTGTAAAATTGGGTCAGGCCTCCTGGTTACCCACTTCGTGATAGCAATGACCTACAACCAAAATTCCGAGCTCAGTTGTGGCTGCACGTCAAGGAATACCTAGACTACAGTAATATGAATTCCTCAGTCATTAGAACTTTGTATGCATATAGGAAGTGAATTGTGCTTGGGAAAAAATATGAGAGTTTTTTCAAATAAGTGTCTATAACAGTGATGGCTAACCTTTTTCTAAAGGCGTACCAAAATTGCCTGTGTGCATGCGTGACACCCATATGGGGATGCACACAATCCCTGCACTTGTGCATGCATGCATGACCCCACTCATGCGCCCCCGCTCATGTACTCCCCCACATGGGGGGGGAAGTTTTTGCCCTCCCCAGGCTCTGGAGGCTTTCCTGAAGGGCGAAAACGGTCTTCCCCAGCCCTCCGGAAGGCTGAAAATCAGCTGGCCAGCACCTGCATGCGCGCCAGAGCTGAGGGCTGCTGTGCCGGCAGATATGGCTCCACCTGACACCTGTGGTGCGCATGCTATAGGTTCACCATCATGGGTCTATAAGATTGGATTGCTACTGTGAAAGAGCACAATTATTGTTCAGTCCTAAATACCAACTTGATATTATTATTCTGTACTTTCTTTTTCAATTATGAATTGTAGCATCATATTGGCTAATGATCTGTAGTAGGCTGAGGCAGCCATCCAGAAAAAAAGCACAATTCACAGAAAGGGTGAATTAAGGCTCTTCTGGTTCTTTTGGCAAACTTTGTGAAAGCAGAATATATTCCCCAAACATCCTGACTATTGAGATCAAAGAAAATGCCCTCATATGTGGACTGAGTTTTTCTAAAAAATCTTTTTTCACCTTTCCTTCCCCTCTGCTTATAGGAAAGATCAACACCTCCTTTCGCCTGTGAACTGCTGGTATCTAGTGTTGACACAGACCCGAAGAGAGAGCAGAGACCATGCCACACTGAACGATATCTTCATGAATAATGTTATTGTCAGACTTTCCCAGATAAGTGAGGATGTTATTCGGCTGTTTAAAAAGGTAAATGCGTTGTTTACTGTAGCTTCTCTGGCAAAAGAAGGGTCATCCCTAAAACCAATTCAGTTTTGTGTTTGCATATCATCAGAGGTTGTATTCAACCAGTTCGGACCTGCCCACTCGCCCTGATTCTATGCCGTCCTATTTAGACACATTTTCAAGCCACGCACATGTGTGCAAGCTGCGTGCGTACTCACATTTGCAAACCGGTAGGGAAAGTAAGTTAATACCACTCCTGCATATCATAGATATAGAAGAATAAGAATGAGTGTTGATGGGACCTTTTCTCTGAAGGTTATGGGTGAGAATAGAAGGACTAAATGAGAATTGAACAAAACGATGCTGGGGAGAGAAGAAAGAAGCTTTGAAGGCTGCATTGTCCACTCTTTGCCTACTAATAAGGAGATCTGCCTGGACATATCTTGTTCTATTAAAGGACTTCTGTTTCTCTTCGGAACTCCTAAAATGTATAACATTTCCCTAGCATTCACCTGTTTGCAGGTAGACAAGGATTTGCTGCTGTTGACATATAATAGAATGACAGAGTTGGAAAGGACCTTGGAAGTCTTCTAGTCCAATCCCCTGCCTAGGCAGGAAACCCTATACTATTTCAGACAAATGTTTATCCACTCTCTTGTTAAAAACTTCCAGTGTTGGAGCATTCACAACTTCTGGAGGCAAGTTGTTCCACTGATTAATTGTTCTAACTGTCAGGACATTTCTATTGTAATAGTAGATTTACCATGGACAGTCAGAGCAACCAACAGAGAGGTGCTGAATCATATAAAATAAGACACATCATTAGAAGCCAAAATCACAAGACTATGTCTGATTTAGTTTGGCCCTGTTGTGCGTGTAAATTCATTGGAAAAGTCAGTGATGCTAGGAATAGTTAGTGGAATGAGAAGGGGCAAGCAAAGAACACACTGGCTTGATAACATCAAAACTGACACAAAGATGAACAACTGGAAGAAGCTGTCTTTGACAGGGTAGCCTGTAGAGCACTTGCCTATAACGTCACCAAGAGTCGGACATGACTGAATGGTTAAAACAGCAACCAATTGTATAGAATTGGTTACTTTTGCAAGAGCATCAGAGTTGCCTGCATTTATCTGAGAAAGTTAAACCAAATAGTTATGAGGATGAATGCAAGAGATCCTGTTCTGGCTGGGTATAAAATATGCAAAATGTCATGTTTTAGGCTGGCTAATACCCATTCAATTTATTTAGCTTTGTTAGGAGGCAGACAAGCTTATGGCAATCCTGAGAGGAAGATAATGCAGTGTTATATTAAATAGCTGATTTATATTAGGTCGATCTAGAGAAATGAAACTGAAGCAGCCCGGGTTCTTTCCTACGTAAGCTGCCTGGTGTTGTGGCTGAATTTGTGCCTAACAGTGTGGGGGCTTTAACCCAAACTTTCTTTTGAATGGGAATTAAGAGGCAGCGCGGGAGTTGATGGCTTCCACAGACCTGAGTCAAAATATCAATTATTTGAGTGTGTGTGTGAGAGAGAGAGGGTGGGGGGGTGGAGGTGCTAGATTTCCTTTTTTGTCTTGAGGCAGTAGGAATGTGATTGGGAGTTAGGAGATAACATCATTACTGGTAGTCCTCAACTTACAACCATTCATTTAGTGACCGTTTGACGTTATAATGGCTCTGAAAAAAGTGACTTATGATTCTTTATCACGTTTACAATCGTTGCAGCATCCCCATGGTGACATGATCAGAATTTAAAGGGTTGGCAACTGGCATGTATTTATTATGATGACTGCAGTGTTCTGGGTTCATGTCACTTCTGATGAGCAAAGTCAACTGCCGTGAGTCACTTAACAACTGTGGCAAGAAAGATGGTAAAATGGGGCTTAACAGTGATTCACTTAACAACTCTCATACTTAGTAACAGAAATGTTGAGTTCAATTGTGGCCAATTAGCCTTGGAGTTCTATGTAGCTCCCCCTCACCCCATTTCATGGAGGAGGGATTTATCCAATAAGTTTATCTGAGGGACCTTTTTTCTCTGCTCTTATTGTTGAGTCTATCGCAGGTAACTTCTGAGTAAGGAGAGGCCATGAGGACCACTGAAGGTTCTCTATGTGGACTTTTCTAGGCATCTGTTGGATAAAGACATTTGGATTTGCTTGGAGTTATGGAACTAATGAGAAGCTGTTGTGCCCAATGATCTGGGCAGAGTTTTAACCAATTAAGCTAAAAATCATGTTTTAGATCTTTCAAAAAATGATTTGAATACCATTGGTGGGAAATATTTCCTTGCGGGAATAGCAATAGGACTTAGACTTATATACCACTTCACAGTGCTTTACAGCCCTCTCTAAGTGGTTTACAGACCCAACAATCTGGGTCCTCATTTTTGTGACCTCGGAAAGGATGGAAGGCGGAATCAAACTTGATTCTGGGAAGATTGGAACTGGCAAATTGCAGGCAGCCGGCAGGCAGCAGTAGTAGCTTGCACTACTGCACTCTAACCACTGCACCACCGCGGGCCATTAAAACAGTTCTGACTCCTTTACGGGAAGCAGTGGTTTGTCTGTTGTTAAGATGCAGTCACTGGATCTAACTGCCCTGAGGATTTCAAAAACGGCCCTGGAGGAAATGAATTATTAATCATTTTTTGGGTCCTGTTATACTCCTGAGATGGCATCAATCTTCCTTGTAGATGATCTCTGGAGGCTTTGTGATGGAGATGGTATCTCCATCTAGAAATTCCTTTAACTTTTGGCAGCTTATCAATTATGCTATCCCTGATTAGTATAGGAGGATTGGAGTGAGGAGCACAGTTTTATGAAGATTCTCTTCCTTCTTCTGTGGCTGGTTTTTAGTTGTTGTTGGTAAAAGATCTAGGCTTAGGTCTGTGTTTTACAGAGTGCCTCAATGATGCCTCAAAAACCCGAGTCTGTCCCATTCCTATTTTTAACATTGGGTGAAGTCATCAGTACTGGTCAAGTATCATCAATATATTGATGATATTTAGTTGCATACCTCTCCTAAGTGACCCAAGCAATGCTGACAAGGTTATTTCTGAGTACCTGAAAGCATTGAGCTTTTAATGTAGGGAATAACAGAATTCAGCTCTACCCAGTGGCGGGATTCAATTTTTTTCACTACCGGTTCTGTGGGCGTGGCTTGGTGTGCGTAGGAGGGGAAGGATACCTCAAAATCTCCATTCCCTCCCTACTCGACTAACCTGCTTTCCAGCTCCGTTCTGTTCAGGACAACAAAAGAAGATCAGCTAGGAGGCAGCAGAGGCGGGGGCAACCTATTTGCCGGTTCTCTGAACTACTCAAAATTTCCACTACTGGTTCTCCAGAACTGGTCAGAACTGGCTAAATACCACCTCTGGCTCTACCCCAAAAAGACTTGAGTAGCTGTGGGTTTTGGAGACTCTTGGATCTGGACATTTTGCATTGTTAACTCTGAATGGGGCAGCATTTCCCCAGGCAGGGTTGTCCCAAAGATGCTTTCCCCCCCAAAAAAAGCCTTGAACTTTCTTAGTTTTTCTTCAAAAATGTTTCACTTCTCATCCAAGAAACGTCTTCAGTTTGAACTGCATTAGTTGTACTTGTTCCTGGATTAGGTAGCATTATTCAGGATCACTCATGCCTTAGTCACAATAGCCGCACACTCTTCTTGGGGGTATCCTTGAGAAGCATTCAGAAGCTGCA